TGCAAAGTGGTATTCTCAGCACTGACAATTATAAAATCAAAATGTCAATCAACTGAAAAAATGCTGAAGACGCTCTATGTACTAAAGTATCAAATATTCCACCAAGATTTCATTCTTTATGTAAAAATAAACAAGGATATCCATCTCATTAGTATGCAAATTTGCCTTCATCTTTAATAAATGGTAAAATTATATGTATACCAAAGAATTGTTTTAAAATACGTTTCTTTATGATTTATTATCAGTAAAGGTTTAATTTGTATACTTATTTTATATACCTACATACCTGGAGTTTTGTAAAAATTTCTCAGGCATAAAGGGGTTGCGAGTGGAAAAAGTTTAAGCAGCTGTGGTATGCTTGGTAAACTGATCCTACATTCCATTCTGGCACTCTTTTAAAAGTTTGTTGGACTGACTAATCTATTCATGTCTAAAACTATGATCCTTAGGCTTCTAAGTTCTTCTTCATTTGTTGTGTTAGTATGGCTTTCTGTTTTCATCCCTTTCCCCTTTAAAATAAAAACTTTATCCCCAAGATTAGTTCTGCTGATACTAATTTGAGGCTAATCTATAACCACAAGGGTTCTCTCTCCCCCTCATTTTTGGATTTTACTTCAATGATTTATTTTTCTTTGTTTTACATATTTATCCATTTCTTCTCTTCTGTGCACATTCTTCTCCCTACTCAATTAAGTGGTTACTTCAAAATCTTTTCCTTCTCCTTTCAAACTTACTTTTATTTTCTTGATTTTCTTTTACTGATTCTTTTTCTAAGTAGTTTTCTTTGTTCTCTTCATTATTTACTTTCCATTCCAGTCTATTACTCCTTCATTCTTTCTGAGTTCTTCTTCATGGAGTTAAAACTCCTGAAGTCCCAATTTTGAGCTCTTTCGTCTAACCAATTTCTATATTATTTCCTTAATACATCTTTCTCCATCCTCCTTTTTTTTTTCCTGCTATACTTCAATCTTAGAAATGTTAATTTGTGGGGGAAGAAGGAAGCAATGCTATCTGGTAATTACCATGTAGCCCAAATCATGCAGCCCAGTTCCAACCCTTGCCTTCACCATGCTCCCCTCCTTCTCAAAGACTAAGCTATCTCTTTTCTGGCTCTGTGTCTCCCCGCCCCGCCCCCCACTTCCCATTCTGGGTGCCAGCTTGTCCCTCCAAACTCACACATGCCTTTCCCTTTGGGGCCAGGTGCTACCAGCAGAGAAGATGGTCCCCTAATGCACAAGCTTCCTCCACTCTGGCAAAACCCATCCTGAGGTCCCTCGCATAGAAACACACACCTTTCTTCCCTTACCAGACCTCCTCTTCATGACTCCCCATTTCAATCCTCACCCCTTGCTGAGACTGCAGAAATCATTACCCTTTCACAATTCCCCTACGGACGTGGGAGTACCATTTGTTTCCTTACACAGATACTGCTTCAGTTAAGTCAAATAATAAAATGATCTATTCAGTGACTTAATAGCTAGTATTCATATAGAACTTTCAAGTTCGCAAACATCTCATTTTATCTTCACAACAACCCTGGCAAGGAGATTCTATTATCATTCCCATTTTATAGATACAGGAAAATAAAGCTGGGATTGAGAAGTTAAGTGATTTGCCCATGGTCACAAAGTGTTTGAGGCTTACTTTGAACTCAGTTCTTCCTTACTCTAAATTCCATACTCACTTTCAGACACTTCAAAAGACGTTATTAAAGAAGAGAGCAAATTTTTAAAAATAACTACACAGACAACTTATAATACATCTAAAGTTTAGCAGTGTTTACAATGAAGAAACAGAATCACAATTGACCCAAAAGTAAGAAATTAAAACCCAACGTTGTCTTCTGTTAATGATGTATATTAATGTCAAGGATCAGGATAATGTTTGTTTTTATTTTGTTCCTAATGTCCTCCACTAAACTCATGCTCCAATACCTAAATGGAATGCGGAGACGACCCTGGGTTCCTGAAACATATGCCAGCTAAATGTGTGTGCTCTGGCAGATCTTACCAAACTAGAAAGGCTTTGAGTGTAGTTTGATCTCTGACTGAAGGCCTTTGATTTAGAGATCAATTTAACTAAGTCTGGAAACTCTGTTAACAATATGGCATCCAGGTAAAGAATTTTTCGCACATAGAACTTCTCAAAGACTATCTAAATTATACAGGCGTGGGAAAAAAACATCTGCACATCTTTTAAGTATTTGTTTCTTGGGCAGCTAGGTGGCACAGTGGATAGAGTGCCAGGCCTGGAATCAGGAAGACTCTTCTTCATGAGTTCAAATCTGGCCTCAGATACTTACTAGCTGTGTGACCTGGGCAAGTCACTTAACCTTGTTTGCCTCAGTTTCCTCATCTGTAAAATGAGCTGGAGAAGGAAATTGGCAAATCACTCCAGTATCTTTGCCAAGAAAACCCCACATAAGGTCACAAAGATACAACTCAACAACCACAAAATTTGTTTCTAATATCCTTTCCTTGGTAGTCATATACTGCTTTACACTGATATGTACTTTAACAAGACAAACTTTGAGATGTAGCTTAGAGGAGCTGAGTCACTTTGCTTTAGTCATTTCCTATTACTGAGTTTCTCTACTTAAGACTCTACTGTGCTAATGCATAAGGATCTTGTCTTACCTTTCTTGTTACCGTCCATCCTGCCAGAACCACTAACACACACCCTAATACATATAAGATTGCTAGGATTTGTTGACAGATTGGCCTTTGCAATAGTGATTCTGGTTTCCCAGAGGCCAAAGATTCACTTGTGCATGAAAACATACTATGATATAAATGACTTAAAAAAGAACTTGAGACAGGACAATTTCCCCTGAGACTCATCAGGAAATAATGCAATGAGTTCTGCGAGGTCAGCGGGTTAGTCAACAAGCATTTATTAAGTACTTACTATGCACCAGGAACTATGCTAAGTGCTAGGGATACAAAGAAAGGCAAAAAACAGCCTCTGCCCAAAAGGAGTTTACATTCTAACAACAACGTCAACTACAAGAAAGATGAGGTGCCCTCTAAGGTCCTAGTATCGCTTGGATCATTTGCCTCTAAAAAGAGCATATGCTCAGAGCTATCTTAACCATAAACCCCTTTAAATAAACAGACTATTAATTTTCTTCAATGTCTGCCCATTAACTGGTAACAGATTCTTGAGATCTCTTACTTTATATAAAACGTACAGTGTAAATAAAACCCAGAAGGCTATCTTTTTTTTTTTTAAGAAGGCTATCTTTTAAGGATGTTTATTTAACTTCCCTTTAAGAACACCACTAAACATTTTAAGGAATGTAACAAACATCATTACCATCTTTTTTTCAAATGTGTAAATACAAATCTGCAGATAGAATATAAGCTGTATGAGAGCAGAAACTGTTTTATTTTCTTTTCTTTTCTCACCACTTGACACACAGTACCTGGCACACAGTAGACAGGTAATAAATGCTTGTTGATTACCTGACTGATTGCCAAATAAGGCTTTCTTTATACTTATATCCAAATATGGGTAAATCTGATGCTCTAGGAATTTTTCATCAATTCAAAACTGATTTAAAACTTTATGCCAGACCAATATTTTTAGCACCAAAACCCCTCCAATCACAATATGAAGGCTTATTTCTTAAGATACATACTTTCCCATTCTCTGGGCTTTCCTCTTTTCCTTTTTAAAACATTTTTTCCCAATTCTGAACTTAAAACATCAAAAAATGGAAGCATGTCTATCTATATACAACGCAGAATATAAAAAAGGGAATTCTAAATGAAACCATGAATCTATTTCATAATGCTTTATATACACCTATATCTACATACATATATATGCTTATATATGTGTGTAAATATACACATATATACACCATTTTGTCTTCTTCTTACACCTGCATTACTAATGTATTTCCATCTCTTAATCATTAAAGAGGTTACTGTCCTTCTCTGTGGAATGGAAGAGTGTAAGTCTTCACATTAATGACAGTTTCATTTTGCCTTTGTATCCATAACAGTTTGGACACAGTAGGTACTTAAATATCTGCTGGGTTAAATGGGAGTTGATGAAATATTCTGCTTCAAAAGAGGATAAATTCAAAGGGGAGATAGGTGGCGCAGTGGATAGAGCTCCGGCCTTGGAGTCAGGAGGACCAGAGTTCAAATCCAGCCTCAGATTCTTGACACTTACTAGCTGTGTGACCCTGGGCAAGTCACTTAACCCTGATTGCCTCACCAAAAAAGAAAAAAAAAAAGAAGAGGAGGAAAATGCAAGCCTCTTATTTATGCTGTGGATTGCACTACTCACTCCATAGTAAAAAAAAAACTCAAGAAATATGATGTTAATAGGAAAGGATTGGACCTGTGATTTAAATTGATATAGAGAACTCCTGGAGGAAGATTTCCTCTCCCAGTGCATGTTGGCATTGGCTCTGCAGCTCTGCAGCTTAGAGAGTAGCCTAGAACACAGAGTAATTAGGTGACCTGTCAAGGGTCACTCAGCTAGAATGTGGCAGAAGTGGGATTTGAATCCAAAGCTTTTTAATTCTGAGGATAATGTTAATAAAGAGGAGAAGGGAATAAATAAGCATTTATATAGTGCCTACTATGTACCAGGCACTGGGCTAAATGTTTTACAAATATGATCTCACTTGATCCTAATAACCTTGGGAGGTAGGTGTTGTTATTATCCCCATTTTACAGTTGAGGAAACCGAGGCAGGCAGAAGTGACTTGCTCAGGGTCACACAACTGCTAAGTAGCTGAGGCCAAACTTGAACTCAGGTCTTCATGACTCCAGGCCCTGAGCTCTATCCACTATGCTCCTTAGTTGCCTTAAAGGTAAAGATTTACCTTTACTTATAAAAAAGGTAAAGAAGGCAGAAAAACTATAATTTCATAAAAGAAAGGAAAAGTATTATTTACAATGGATTAACTGTGTTAAAGATACTATTATTGTACAAAACATTAAGAAGTCTCAAATTTACCATGTAAATTCATCTGGAATTACCTTATCAATAGTAAGCATATAGAAATGTGTGATGTCATTTTCATGTGCATACTTGATTCTTGCCATACATTCTTCTTCATCAATTAATTCACCAACATACTCATTCACAAACTCTCCCTGTAGGTGAGAAGAATGTAGCTATAATAAATAATATACCACACACAGTTCAAAGAGAACATTTTACGTCCTATATCAATATCAATTGGGACAGGAACAGAGTCTCATCTTAATATTAAAGTACTGATCAAAAGATATCCGATGAGCTAATTCTCTCCTTAGGTGGGTCGTAGAAAGCCACAGGCTTAGAATGCACTTGGTTGAAGCACAAAAATCATATGTCCCAGCTCACATACTTTTTCCTACACTACCAAACAGTGCAGGAATTGCTTGATCCTAAGAATGAAGAGTTGAAATAGGGGTTGACTGCAAAGGACATGCCACTTAGGCTTTAAAGGATTTCTAACCCAAGCCACTTCTCTAAGCAATTGTTGCTTCTGTAAGAAAGCTTTCTCCCAGGTCTGTTCATTAAAACAGAAGATAACTAGAGAAAATTACCAGAGACTTCTAAGTCTGAGCTACGAACATCTTAGTGACCTGTAATCTACCTTTCAGCTCTACGCCTCCCAGACCAAGTAACTTCTCTAAGGTCTAGGAAACTTTACGGGCCCCAAGAGAATTACGGCAATCTTTCTAGGCATCATTTCTGATTAATTCAATAAGACTAGCCTTGTAACTTTACAAGTGTAAAAAACTCTGATGGAGGAAACTCCCTTACCAGTACAGACTAGCATCTGCTTAGTAGTCTTAGAGAGTTAACAGGGCATTGAGAAGTGATTTCCTCAGGGTCGCATAGTCAGTATGTGTCAAAAGCAGATCTTCCTGTGAGCCATTCCTCCATCTCTACCCCTTCACCCTCACCACACACAATATATCATCAACCCTTCAGGATATTCACTGGTAGTGCCTGTTCCCCCTAAACATCCAGAATCAAACTTGATACTAAGAAAATAAGAAAAGAATGGTCTTTAAAAACTGGATTAGAATGACAACTTCTTTTTAATATGACCATTACATCTCCTGTGGGGAAACCTTTTTATATAGTCTGTCAAACAACACAGCAAAATGGACTGGATGAAATAGAAATTTAGAGAGGTAAGGAAAGAATTCCATTACATGTGCTCCATTGGTCATTCTTATAAAAACAAGATTGCTATTTAATCTCACAGGATTCAGACGAGATATTCATTTACTACTTGTTGAACTAAAGCATCTATACCAGCAGACTTTTTTGGGCTCTGGAACCACAGCAGCAAAGATAAAAAGGCATTCAAAAAACATTTGTAGACACATTTTTAAAGTGGTAGCATAAAGAAGAATTTAAATATATTATCTGAATCCTACTACTTGGGATTGTACAGAACTAAAGTAGCACTCTTTTCTATTCCATCCCTTTCAATAGCACAATTCTTCATAACTACTGACTACTTCTTCCAAAGGTCAGGGCTGCCTTTTTGAGTAAGATTTTCTTTCTTATAAAACCAAACTAGCACTCCCACCTTTGCTTCAAGACAGAAAATTTAAAGGTAAGTAGTTTAATCATATTTTGAGAAGTTTCCCAATTTTAGATCAAGTGACCACTTTAAATAAAAGTTCTGAAAGACCATTCTCTCCTGATTCTCTTACAGGGAAAAAATATTGCATACCTTTTTAATGTCCCTCTTGGCAACCAGGCCCCAGCCTTTGCCATCAGTTTTGATGATCTTTGTCTCTGGGTACTGACGTTTGGTAAAGCACTGGTTTTGGCACTGCTCTCCTGCTGGACAAACTTGAGGGTGGCACTCATACATTAACATCCGATTTAAACACTCCGAGTCGAAACCACAGGGGTTTTCATCTGTGGGCTTGCAGTTGCATTTGGGAATTTCAGAAATATCAGCTGTATATATCTGAACTTTTCCACAAGGTTTATTCACCTGAGTGTAGAAATTAAACTACTTTAAAGGAAGGCAGGACACCTGAATCCCTCATATGCCTTCACTTTCAATGAGATTTCTTAAATTTTATACATTATAGCTGAAATGAAAAATCCAGCCAACATTTTATTAATGTTAATTATTTGCCTTTTTTTCTGAGAATAAAGAACAGGACCTTGGACATCATTAGGGTACAACAGTTTACCAAAAATATAGGTGGATGGGTAATTCCAAATTTTCTAAATTCAGTTAATACCAGTCTGGAGAAGGCAGTAGAGGGAGAAGCAAAGAAAAACCAAAAAGTACTCAATGAAAATGATTCTTCTTCTACTTTCATTCAATTGCATACTCATTTCCATGATATAACGGAGGGTAGCCAAAAGGATCTAAAGGTGTGGCATTATCAAATATAAGGGGAGACAGCCTTGATGGGTCCTACTTTATTAAAAATCAGAGTATACATGCTTATGGAGTATGTGTGTGTATGTGTATACACATGGATGTGTATATATGTAAAATACACATGTATGTATGTATTTACTTATTTTAAGGAGAATCACAGACTTCACAAAACAAAAAGTAAAAGACTGTATCAGTAGTAGGGAAAAGTGACAGAGACAAGGAACTGAATTGAGCTCCTGTCACTGAAAAGAAACAATACACAAAGGGGACAGGGAGATTACTGTTTGACCTTTCTGGTCCTGATGTCTAGATTGTGATCACAACATTATAAGCCATTTGAGAACAGGAAGCACATGGGCATCATTAACTGGTGCTAAACAAAAATATTCAATTAGTGAAATCCAATTACTAGGTCCTTTCAATTCCCACACTATCTCTCTTATTTGGCTCACTTTTTTCTTACCCTCAGAATACTACAACATACCTTCAATCTCAAATTCCAATGATCAAAGCTACATAAAGCTACAACTACTTTCACTATGTCAGACACCATGCTCAAAAGCAAGGTCCTCCACAGTCTGGCTATAACCTACTTCATCCATATGTTGACTCCCATTACTTTCCTCTACCATAACGGAATTATCTGCTTACTTCCCTCACAAGCAGACCTTGTCCCCATGAGTGCAACTGTGAATTCCATGACTGTTTGAAATGCTTTTTGTTCACTCCTATATTTCTTGAAATCTTACCTAACCATGGCAAGTAAAACTTAAAACCCATCCCTTCCATGTAATAAATCTTATAAGGGATATTCCTGCACACTAAATTCCAAAATGACACCATTTTGCTCTTTATCTGGGTGATCTTTCAATTAATTCCTACAAAAATTATCACCTACACTATTCATATTGCACTTTTCCCATACTACTTGGTGTTGAAGTTCTTTTATATTTGTCTTGGGCTTTTAGTTCAGTCTCTTCCATAGTATTATGGCACTATTTACTGAAGATGATGACACCATAATAAATGTGTACTTGCCCATACAAATTGTCCATTGTTGAGATTCATAGCTATTCACACAAATGTTTAACAATTTAAACTTCATTAATACTTAATTATCCAATTTCTCAATGTTGCATTCAACACTATGGCTCTAATGATTTCTTCTAATATTTATATTTAAAAGTCTCACCTTAATGTGTTTGTAAGGTGGAGGTTTACGTTCATTTTCCTGGGTTTCTCTGGCTTCCCGTTGAAGCTTTACTTCTCGAAAACGAGCTTCAGCTTCTTGCAGTGCTAAAAAAGTTGATGAAATATGGGTAAGAAATCTTGTTAACACAAATAGCTCATCTCTCTTTTATTCTATATTCCTGACAATTTCTTTTGTTCAAATGTCATTTTATGGCTAAATTGATCCAGAATGCTGGCTTATGTTACAAAATGAAAAAGACACTAAGAATTTACAGTTTAAATATACACTAAGATATTTTTGGCAGTAATTTTTGTGGTGACAAAGAATTGGAAACAAAGTAGATGCCATCAACTAGGGAATGGCTTAACTAACTGCAGTACATGAATGTAATGGAATACTGCTGTGCTCTAAGAAAATATGAAAATGATGAATACAAGGAAGCATGGAAATCTTATATAAATTGATGCAAAATGAAGCCAAGTCAAGAAAACAATATATACACTGACAGCAACGTAAATGGAAAGAAAACCAAAACCCAAACTAAATGTTGCCAAATCATAAAAGCCGTGCTTGGGCCCAAAGAAGACAGATGAGAAGACAACTCCTCCTACTTCTTTGGAATGATGGAAAACATGGGTGCAGAACACAGCATAAAACATCAGATGTTTTCATTGTGTTCATTGGTTTTAAATTGTCCCCTCCTTTTCTTCTTAAAAAATTCTGTTATAAAGGTTCTCTGAAATCAGGGAAGGATAATACTAAGGGAAATGTAGGTTTTGTAAAAACAAAAGATATCAATAAAAACCTATTTTTAAAAATTTATAAGGGGCAGCTAGATGGAACAGTGGATAGAGCACTGGCCTTGGATTCAGGAAGACCTGAGTTCAAATCTGGCCTCAGACACTTGACAGTTACTAGCTGTGTGACTCTGGGCAAGTCACTTCATCCCATTGCCTCACATAAAAAGAGAAAAGAAAAAAAACATTTATAATTTACTCTCAATAAAGAATACGTCCCAGTTTCTTACTCTATATATAAGGCTGACACAATGTGTCTATGATTGAAAATACATTTTCATCTTAATTTAATACTCAGATATTATCATTAATTTAAAAAATTTTATTAATAAAAATTAGAAATTCCATCAACAAGCACAAACATTCACAGAGATAAGAAAAGAGAACATTTTTAAAAACAAAGTCAAGTCAATAAGCATTTACAAAATACTATATACCAGGGGGCAGCTAGGTGGCGCAGTGGATAGAGCACCGGCCCTAGAGTCAGGAGGATCTGAGTTCAAATCTGGCCTCAGACACATAACACTTACTAGCTGTGTGACCCTGGGCAAGTCGCTTAACCCCACTGCCTAGCAAAAAAAAAAGAAAAAGAAAAAGAGAAAAAGAAAAAAAAAACCTATATACCAGACACAGTGCTAAGCACTGGGAATACCACCCCCCCCCCCAAAAAGCCAAAAGGAACATCTGTTTTCAAGGAGCTCAGTCTAATGGAAGAATCAACATGAAAACAGAAAACAGTTTTGCACAAATAAGCTATATACAAGATAAATGGAGATAAACTCAGAAAAGAGAAGGCATTAGCATCAAGGGAAATTGGGAAAGGCTTTGTACAGAAGGCAGGATTTCAGTTGAGACCTGAAGAAAGCCAGAGAAACCAGAAGGTGGAGACAAGGAGAGAGAGAATTCTAAGCAGGGAGAACAGCCAGTGAGAGTCAAGAGATGAGTGTGTTGCTTGAGGAACAGCAAGGAGGCTAATCAGTGGATCGTAGAAAATGTAGAGGAGAGTTAAGATGGAAGAAAAATGGAAAGGTGGAAAGGGGCCAGATTATGAAGAATTTTAAAAGCCAAATATGGCCAATGTTGACCACCTTCTTCTCCTTGATACTCTTCTTCTCTCTAGGTTTCTGTGACTCTACTTTCCTGGTTCTCCTACTTATCTGACCACTCTTTCTCAGTCTCCTTTGCTAGATCTTCATCTAGGTCATGTTCACTAACCATGTGTGTCCCACAGGGCTCTACCCTAAACCTTCTTCTCTCCTCCCTCTATACTACTTCACTTGGTGATCTCATCAGCTCCCAGGGATTCAATGATCATTTCTATGCTGATGATTTGCAATTCTACTTATACAGCCCTAATCTTTCTGCTGACCTCCATTCTCACATCGCCAACTGCCTATTAAATCTTGAACTCAATGTCTTATAGACATATTCAACTCAACAAGTTCAAAACTGACTCAGTAATTTCCCCCCAAACTTCCCTATTACTGTTGAGGACATCATCATTCTCTCAGTCACCCAGGCTTGCAAACCAGGTGTCATCCTTGACTCCTCACTATCTCTTACCTCCCCTATCTAATCTGGTGCCTAAGCATACGTATTTCACCTTTGCAACATCTCCTGAATATGCCAATATGCCCCCTTCTCTCTTCTGACACTGCCTCCTCACCTCATTCCTGTACTACTGCAATAGCCTGCTGTTGGGTTGGCCTGCCTCAAGTCTTTTCCCTTTCCAAACCATCTTCCATTCAGCCACCAAAGTGATTTTCCTAAAGGGCATGTCTGACCATGCCACTCTTCTCCCCCATTCTCCATAAACCAGTGACTCCCTGTTACTTCCTAGACAAAATATTAAATCTTCTATTTAGTGTTCAAAGCTCTTCATAATTTATCCCCCACACACCTTTCCAGTCTTTTTATACCTTACTCACCCCATGTACTCTGATAATAACCTTCTTGCCATTCCTCCCACAAGATATTCCATATTTTCTAACTCTGAGTATTTCCACTGGTTGTCCCCCATGCCTGGAATGCCCTCCTTCCTCATTTCTGCTTCTTGGCTTCCTAGCTAAAATCCCACCTCCTACTGGAAGCCTTTCTTAATCCCTCTTAATTCTGGTGCCCTCCCTCTGTTGATAATTTCTTATTTATTCCATATACAGCCTGCTTGTAGATAATTATTTGCATATTGTCTCCCCATTAGATTGTGAGCTAATGAAGGGTAAGGGACGGTCTTTTGCCTTTGTATTCCTAGCACTTAACACCATGCTTGGCAGAGTAGGCACTTAATAAATTTAATAAAAACTTATTGATTGAAAAACTATATATTAACTTTATTAAGATAGAGCAAAATTATCTTATGTGTGTAGCATAGACTTTATTGTTTCTTAATGTTGTTATTTACATAGCTGTGGTAGTTGGGTACATTTTCATTTAATTCTTTCCTCTCTACTTTAAGTCATAGCATTTTTCTATGTATTTTTCCTTTTTCTCCTTTCTTTTAGCATAATGATATTCCATTACACTCATACACTATAATTTAGTCTCAATCATTTCCAAGTTGTTAGGGTACTGTTTATTTCCAAGATTTGTCTGGCTATACAAATACTGTAACTAGGACTATCTTTATACATATTGGTCTTTTTTTCTTGTCAGTAACATCTTTAGGGCATAAAATATGAAGTGGTATTGCTGAGATGAAGGCTACAAACACTTTTATAACTCTTATTATATAATTCTATATTTATACCCAAAAAAGATTGAAACAATTCACAGCACCACAAGTCAATTAACATGTCAGTTTTTCCACAGTCACACAAGCACTGAATTCTATTATCTAATAGCGTCTTTGCTATCTAAAAATGTCTTTGCTAATTTAATGGTTATAAGGTTCTATTTCAGAGCCATTTTAATTTCATGACTCAAATTAGAATTCTCAAAATCACTTTTCAAATTAGAGATTTGGACTTCTTTTTCAAATAATTGCTGATAGTTTGTTTTTTCTTTTGAGAAATTCTTGTTTATGTTCTGTGACCATTTCCTTATTGGAGAATGGCTATTACATCAAATTTCCTATAGATTTTAAATGCCAGAATTTACCAAACCTTTTCAAAGATTTTTTTCCCCTAGTCTATATCTTTCTTATTCTGCATATGTTGTTTGTAGTTGTGTATCTTTTACATAATCAAATAGATCTACTTTGTCTAAATTCCTCTTCTGAGTATGTTTTGGGTTTATTATTGATTTTCTACTTTTTAAAACTGTTCTTTTTAGTAACATCGAATTTAGTTATATTTGACAACTCAGTAGTAGCTCATAAATTTGGAGAAATATTAAAATCTAATTCTGAAGTCAACATGATATAGTAGACAAAGCACTGGCTTTGAAGCAAGAGAGCTGCTTATGGCACATAACTGAATGTGTGACCCTAGGAAAGTCTCCATCTCTCTCAGTGTAGATCACTCTCCAAGACTATACAGAGAAAATGCCCATCTGCATTGGTAAAAGGAGTTTTCCTCTTTTTGAACTTCCCAGTACTAATGAAATCATAGGTCTCATCCCTATCTGTATCCTTAATTTTGAAACAAACTTAATTCAACAAGAATTATTAAGTATCTATCAGGTACTAGGTACTGTGCAAGGTGTTAGGAATGCAAAGATCAAAAAAAGTCCTTATTCTTAAGGAGTGTACATTTTACTGAAGGAAAAGAGAAAATATAGACAGATAAATATAAAATATACAAAGTCTGGAGGTTTTTTTTGCCTTTTGGGCAAATGAGAATATTAACAATTGGAGAAAACAAACAAACAAACAAACAAAAAACAATTGGAGATATTTGGAAAGATTTATGACTTAGAGGGAAGTAGATATCATAATTAAGCTAAGGAAAGGAAGCATCTAAGGCCCTCAATAGGGCTGTGTAAAACCACTGAGTCGGGAGATGGAATGTCATGCTTGAAGAGGAACAAACTGGCCAGCTTAGCTTGAGAATGTGTAATGTAGTGTGTGTGAGGTACAATAAAATGTTTATAAGGAGATTCAAATTGAGATGTATAGCAGGCAATTGGTGATGTGGGATTGGAGCTCAGGAGATAGATGAAGGATAGATATGTAGATCTGGGAATCATCTCGGTAGAGATGATAACTGAACCCACGAGGGGTTATGAAGGATATTTCTGTACTCATCCTAAAAACAAATCTAAACATTTGAATGAAGGAAAATCTTTCTTAAGTTTTTATAACAAATGTAGAGAATATTATAGACTAGTTGTGTAATAGATTTTGAATACCTGAACATAGCTATAAGAATAGAACATGGAAGGCAGTGTGATACAGTGGAAAGAGGCCTGACTGCAGCTATAGGACAGGAATTTGGATCCTGGCTGTCACTGACCACTCCCTGGTCAAGGCCTATCACTCTTCTGGAGTTTAGTTTCCTCATCTGTAAAACGAAGGGGTTGGACTTAATGACATCTAAGGTCCTTTCAAACTCTAAACCTATGATCCTACTGGGGTAGATAAGGATTAAAGCTAACTATGATCAGTCAAATCTTAAAGAAAAAACTATTGCAGTAAAATCTTATAATAATGGATCTTACTGAATTATGAATTCCACTATATTGTGGCTTAAACTATGTTCTTTATAGGCACAATGACGTACTGTAACAATATGTCAACAGTCTCTTTTTTCCTTTATAGTAAAACCAGACTAACATGAAAATGTATTTTATTGACCCCAAATTCTCTGAGTGTCAAAAAATGGATAAATATAAAACTTATATGTAAGATAAAAGAATCCAGAAAATATTTAAAATAACTAATTCTTGAAAATAATGAATACATACATACACACACACACACACACACACATAGATAGATAGATACACTACAGAGTGCCACAGGATATAGCCTTATACAAACTATGTTACTCTAGTAAAAAAACATGACACTAATACTTCTCTAATCTAATATTATCTAATCTACTATTTACAAACAATTTAGTTTCTCTTATTTGTCTTAAAATGCAAATGCAACATGTTTGCTCTATTTCCTTTTTTTCTGTATAGTTTCAAAGAAAAAAGATAGATGACTGTCAATAGAGTGAACATAAGACATTTTAGAAAAAAGCTAAATAACATATTTTATATTTCAATACCATTCTTGAAGACTTTTCCAATTCCTTTAATTCCTTGATATCTGCTTCCCCGATCTCCTTCCATATAGGGAAAGACTCGTGCCTGATGTGTCCAGTAATAATCTTTAGATCCAAAGAAAAACACAGGAAACTCGCCAATCTCATGCTTCATTTTCTGAATATTTGGAGGAACATTTTTTGGATGGCAAACTTCTGCAGGCCACCATCTATATAACAAATTTTAAAAATTACATTTTTAAAAACCTTTCACGGATAGGAATAACAATTTTAAATATTTTTTCACAATTTAATCTAAACTGAAAAGAGGGGGAAAAAAACCACAGACATAATCAGCATGAATTTCTACTCATTAGACAGACCTGTAGTTCCCAAGTTTGACCCAAATGATGTCTTGAAAATGAAGCTTTTTTCCAGCTCTGCAGTCATTGCAATACCAACTGCCATCTGGCATTTCAATATTCAAACAGTCTGGATGGAATGCTGCTGGACATGACTCACAGCATAACAGGCTTCCCCCTGTGTGAAATGGAAAACTTTAGTTAGCTTTTGTTTACTCCAATTCAGGTCTTGATTTAACTTCTCATAATATATAACAAAATTAACTGATATATTTGACTTTGAAATACTAATTCAAGAAAAATGACACTGTAAATGTTGACATTTTGATACATTAAAGTTGTTACTGTTCACATCACTATTATATTTTGCTCTAATTTTAGTTTGAAACATTCTCTTACATGGTAGCAACAATTGCAAAAATGTTAATATGTTATGTTGACAACTGTGAACAGTCACCATCAGAGGACGCTTATGTACTATTGATGTATATTTTAGCACTTTAAAAATGTGATAATCATAGTGACTGCACTGAAAAATTACTTTCAGTAGAATGATAAAAGGTATCCAAACAATAGATTAAATATAAATGAAACAAAAAAAATGCCTTACCTTTTGAGCAAACAAAGCACCAGCTCACATTCACATGGGCATGATGACTTTTTCCTTTCCGAGCAGTGAAATGATTAGTGCAAACAATGTTGTTGGAAGCAATCACTGAACAACCTGCGGCCATGCAGCCATCTCCTCCATGATAAGCAACAGGACAGCGAACACATCGCATCATTTTACCTATCAAGTACACAAATGTTTCAACATACCAATACTTCAAAGATCTCTGATTTGATCCATGCAGGTGCTTCCTCCCCCAGTGCAAACCACAACCTTTCCATGCCTTAGAACAGATCTGCACAACCTTTGGCCCTCAGGCCACTTAGAGCCTGAGGAAGGATAAAGGATTTTGGCCAGAGAAAAATGCAGAGGATGTTTTCCTCTACATTTTTTTCACAGGCCACCCAAAATCCTTTGGCATGCTTTAAGCGGCCCATGGCCGTAAACGGCTCATAGCTAAGAGGTTGTATAGGCCTGCCTTAGAACATGGTCATATGGGTTTATGTGGCTAAAATAATTCATCACCTGGTACAGTTAGCTTTCTAGTGATAAACCTGTCCTGATTCTGGTAGGCTGATCCTCCAACAAATAAAAAGTCTGTCCCGAGGCCTGTATTTATATGTCAGAAAGTCAAGTAGGAGTTGCTGGACCTGGTGCTCTATTAATACAACCTTCAAGTATGCAGAATAATCTTTATACTATAATCCAGCATGGAGAACTTTATCAAGGGTACTCATGCAATAACCTAAAAATGACAAGCTGCACATTATCAATGAGATAAGATACTGAATTATGCCAAGAAGAGTACTACGCTTGCTTTGTTAAATTGATCGTTCATGAAATGTCACATACAATTTTTTTTAAAAGGTCTTCAGGTAGGGAAAAAAAATTCTCAATGGAGAAAAATCAGCAGTAACTTTTAAGGGGAAAGCAATCAATTAAAACGTTAAACCTTCTTTCAAGAATGTTTAACCAAGATGGCAGCTAGGTGGCACAGTGGATAAAGACCAGGCCCTGGAGTCAGGAGGACCTGAGTTCAAATCCGGCCTCAGACACATAACACTAACTAGCTGTGTGACTCTGGGCAAGTCACTCAATTGCCTCACCAAAAAACAAAAAAAACTAAGAATATTTAACCATAAATTTTCTCTCATTTAAATGATTAGGAGAAAAAAAACAAGGTGAAAAAATTAAGGCTTTTTTGGGAGGAGGAGGTTATCAACTGTACTTGTCTAATGTTGCATGTTCAAAAGGAAAAAGAAAAGCCTATGAAACTGGAAAAGTCCTATTATATATCTCTAAGATTGATTTTTTCAGTTGTTACCCATCTTATTTGAAGAAAAATTAATTAATTTTACATGGCTCTAAAACCCTTAAATGGCAGCTAGATGGTTCAGTGGATAGAGTCAGTTCAAATCTAGCCTGAGACATTTTCTAGTCGTATGAGCTGGGCAAGTCACTTAACCCTATTTGCCTCAGTTACTCATCTGTAAAAATGAGCTAGAGAAGAAAATAGCAAACCACTCCAGTATCTTTGCCAAGAAAACCCAAATAGTGTCATGAAGAGTCAGACATGACTGAAACAACTGAACAACAAAATACCTTTTGATGATCTTGGATTTGAAGGATTTGTTACATGACAGCTTACGCAGCTGTGGAGGGGACAACGAAATCCTCGGCTCTCAAATACAGTAAGGTGGTATTTTTTCACACATGCTTCATGGTAAAATTTTCCACACTGGGATACAACACAGCGTTTCACTTCTGTTTTTTTCTCCTTACAAACAAAACACGAGTGAATCCCTAATAATGATTAAAGGGAAAGTTGGAAATAGAGAAGTATTAGTGTTAAGTTAAATTACAGTTAAGTACTTATGTCATTCTAAAATCAACTAAGTCTAGCAATGTTCCCTTTATAAGGGGGTCAAGTTTTCAAATTTTTGGGGGGGGGTGGCAGAGGGGAAAGGTAAAAATACTAGCTACAACTTTAAGCCCTGGTAATAGAGAAGCATTCTTCAAAGTTTCAGCCTGAACACACAGATATAGCTGGAAAAAACACAGAATGTAATAATGCAGTTCATTTTCTCAACACAATCACAGAATATTCAAGTTGGAAGGGATCAAAAAAGCCACCTAATTCCAGCCCAAATGTTAATAATAATCCACTCTAAAATAACTTCAATCTGTAGTCATTCAGAATCTGCTTGAAGACTTCTAGTGAAGGGAAAACCAAAACTTCTTGAGGAAGCCTTTTGTACTTTTGAAGAGATGTGGTTATGACTCAGGGAAAAGCATTATGAATAGTTATGCATGTTGTGAAATCTGACAGGATAATTAAGGGAGAAGCTTAACTAAATTAGTGTAAATTCTGAATTATAGAATATTTTGGAAGAAATGTAATTTTATACCTCTCAAGAGCATAAAGTAACTAAAACTGTTAATAGTACTATGGGAAAAGTACCATCTGATGATAATAATCTTATGTAACAAGCATTAGAATTTTTAACTGTATAAAAACAAATGTTTCTCAAAGGGATTATAACACTTCTGTGCCTAGCCTTCCTTTAACCTTATTACATAATTTGCTTAACAAATCCTTTTCTTTAAATAAGCTTTTTTTGGGGGGAAGGCGGGTAGGCATGACTTGCTTTTGATTTAGGGATGCTGTGTTTTCATCAGTACAGTGGTGAAGAAACTTCCCCAACCAATGGAAAACAGCACCTATTCTACAACTCATTTCTTAAAAAAAAATTACCTAGGGCACTGAGAGGCTCCATGATCTGCTCAGGGTCACTTAGTCACTATGTTTGTTGTAACGATAGAGACCAGCTCCTTTATTCAACTAGGCCACATGACCTCACCACACCCTTTCTTCATAGATAAAATAGAACCAAGGTGAAATATACTAATCAGAAATCTCAAGACTGTATAGTTGGAACATTAATGTTCACTACAGTTAAAAAGAATTCTCTGAAATACTCAAAATCAAATACATGTCACATTTCACCAAATTCTCTGGTAATATTATCATTTTGTATATTCTAATCTGAAATAAGTGGGTCACAAATCTGAACTGAAATAATCATTTATGGATGTTTTTGGTTATCATGACTATTTCTTGCAATGGGTACTAACTTTTATAATGAAACATTTCCACGTTTCAAATAATGGCCTACTGATTAGAATGTCTATCACAATTCCAGCACAGCCAGATAGTTAACATTCTTTATATTGAGTTAATTTTATTTGTACAAAATTTTGGCTCTAATTTTAAGTGGTTAAAAGTTCTCCAATGTGGTGTAAGCCAAGGAACCATACTTTGTAGCATTCTAGTTTTTAAACAGACAACTGAGTGAAAGTTACTCTGCAAAAAGTTCAAGATGCTGAAGTTAAAAGTATATATGAGTCAATTTTACTTCAACAATTAAAAAAAATCATGTCAAACAAACATCTTTTTTAAAGAAACCATTTTTTAAATGTAGGATTATTTATCGCTCAATATTATAATCCAGAGATGAAAAGAGCACACACAGCAATCACTCAACTTGCAATAAGGTGAAAATTCTATGAAGTTATCAGGGATTAGATTATTTTGATAAACGGTGAGTTTTTGGGATTGAAGAAAAGGAACAGGTAGCACTAACTTCGAGGGTAAAGGACATTACAATCTGTTTCTATTAATTTCTTAGGTATAACAATTTCAGAAATAGTTCAAACACATAAATACATACACATATACAATATATAACATATATAATAGTATATATAATACTATCACCAAAGAAATTCTGTCAATTTCTCTTTTTAAAGATAAAAGCTTTTTTTTAAAGCTCTGAACAAAAAACTTACCTGAAGTACATTCACTGCAAATGAATTTTCCTTCTGGTCTTCTAGAAAGCCCAAGGCAGGATAAATGAAAAGCTCCATAACAGGGTCCTTCACAAAGCAGGAGATTGCCAGATTTCTCGCAAAGCTTTTAAACAGAAAGCAGGAATGTTGAATACACACAAAGATTTCTCCCCTCTCCCCATTTTTCTCTTCCTAACCCCACTTTGCTACTTAGGGGGAAAAGTACACTTGTAAAATACTACAGATTACAAAATATTCATAAATCAGTCAATTACAAACACTGCCACTGACTAGCCAATTGCAAATTTAACTAAAATTATATAGGCTTTATTAAGGAATGTCAAGTCAGACATATGAAGAAAATATTCATAGAAAATGTCGCATCATAAATTTATGGCTTAAAGCCACTGATGTTTAATTCATAAGACATTTCTATGGGTAAAGGTTACTTCTGACCAAAACACTAGTTGTGTTATAATTGTTATTACTTTTTCATCTCTCACAGAGTTTCCACTCAGCATGATTCAAGCACAAATCAATGATCACAACTAGTTAGGGCAACTTAATTGCCTGTTTTACAGTAGATTATATCTTTGATAATAATCCAAAATACAAGGGTTCACAAAAGGCAAAACAGGGCTTAAGCTCAGCCAAAAGCCCATTATCACTGAACATTTACTAAGTGATGAATGAAAGCTTTCAGCTTACCTGACAAACATATTCCTTTTTAGCTGTGGTTCCTCGCTCAGACTTTTTAGAAGATATAGAAATTTCAGTTTGAGTCTCATCTGCGCTTTCATATGGGGACTCTGAAGGTTCATCTCCTTGACCATCTGAGATCTGAAGATGAAGCGTATGAATTATATTTCACTATAGCCAGGCGAAGAAATAAGGGGTCATATTCTGCTTTAAAAAAGGCACTAGTTATTGTTAAATGATTTAATATACAAACAATACCTTATAAACATTTCCCTTTATTACTGAATTTAAATATGACAACTTTTATACATACATGTATAGAAGTTGTATTATGCCTAAGATTTAGTAACATTCTTAAATAACCTTATATTTAACTAACTATACTTAATAACAAAAATATTAGTGATATTTGAAAACTATAACATGTTTTAAAAATTTGGGGCTTTGACTTTCCCCACTAAACCACTTCAGTCCCAAACAAAATCAAATGTGTACAGTAAAAGATGTTAACATCAAATATGTTTTTTTTCTTAAATAAATAAAATTTGGAACACAAGTTCAAGCCCCACAAAGGTATTCCTATTTGTTTTATTTCAGTGCCATAACTCAGCTTTAAAGGGGTTCAGAAAAATATTCAAAATGGGATATACTCCTTTTCTAATATTTCTTAAAAGTATTCACTAAACTTAGTTTTGAGACTTATTATCAAGTTTGTGGATTATCCATGTCCTCTGTTTCTCTTCTTCTCCCCAATGCTTGTCTTTGGGACATTTCACAGCTCATTAGTACCTCCCCCAGAGGGTGGGTAGCTGAAGGGAGAGAAGGTGAAGAGAAGGTGAAGTCAAATCTGTCCATTTTACTTAACAGTTCTGGTTTAAAAAAAAAAAAAGAAAGAAAAGTTTGGGAGGAAGAAATTCAAACTCTTGGCCAAATGATATGACTAATCTAGGAAGCTCTGTTTAGCCATACTATACCTGCCACCCTCTTATTATCAAACATAATCTAGCTTTAGGCTAATACTTCCCCACCCACCACTGAATCTTTTCAGAAGTCACACTTTCAATTAAATTCATACATGCTTAATTGAAAACAGGGAAACCATTTGCCATTTAGCTTTTCTGTTAAAGACTTGTGATCTTTGTAAAAACTTTAGACACCATATGTGGAAGCTTTTACATGAGTCTAAATCATAATATTCATTTATTATTGTGTAAAGTAGTGGACCTAAGAAATAGAATACAGAAAACTATAATTTAGAATTAAGTGATGGGTCTGCATCACTGCAAGAATACCAGCTAATTTGGTCAGTTATGTAGGTTTATGCATCTATGATTGACTTCAAGCAAATCATTTAACTTGTATGTTTATGTAATTTACATTATTTAATAGGACATGTGGGAACAAACTCTAAGGATATCACTAAGTGTTTTCCTGATTTTAAATCAGTACTAAAAGAAATTTTCTACTAACTTTTTTATCTTGATTTTACTATTTTCTAGAAAAATGGACTAAAAAATAAATTAACAAGAAGTCTAACTCCAAATTTTAAAATAAATTAATATGATTTTGATTTTTGACATATTTAAATGTTTTGCTCTATCTAAGCTGTAGTTCTAACAAAAAATGTGCTTTTGTTCAATATTTTACACCAATAAGCTTTTCCCTATTATTCCATTAGTATTCCTTTGGTATTCTGCAGATACAGAAAAACCAGCAATTAAAAAATACTTTGAGTTTAAGTCCCAAATTTATATTATTAATAAAGTTCCAAATCAAGTTAATAGCATACCTACATACAGGGACACAAGGTGTTCTGTTCATGTTGGTACAAACTAATAATCCTTTCTTACTGGGGTTGCCTCTCAAAAGACAAACAGAATTATGTGCTATTATCACTTTATACATTATAGGTAGCTTTTGGGGGGGGGGAAAGGCCTTCAAAGCACTTTACAAATCATCTTAGAGACAGAAATTGAAACACAATAAGGAATAGTAAGGGACTTTAACCCAAATCTCAACTCAAACCAGCTGGCAGTGCTTTATCCACAAAACCATGTTGATACTAGTTTCAAACAAATTTAGAAGCAGAAAAAAAATGGGTGGGGATAGAGACAGAAAACACACATCAGTCCTGGTACAGAGGAAGAAGCAGCACCTTTTATTTAAAATTTACAGAAAAAGTTAGCATGTTTCCACTTGGAGAAGATATTTCCTAAAATTAACAAAGTGTGTTTAAGGAAGAACAGTGAATACACTTTTTTTAATGCATGTATAAATTTTAAGAGACAAAATATTAAGTTAATTTTCTAATATTTGGAAGGGGATATACATACAAGATAATATATAAAAAATGAAACCTTACAAAGTTACAATCAGTAAAAGTACAATTCCAAGATTTTCTGACTTGTACCATGTTTCACCCTCTTTTTCCACTCATTTTTATGGGAGCTGTATTCCAATGACTATTTAGCAAACCACCAGCAAATGTAGTAGCAAATGTATACAGATAAATAACAGGATATCGTTTCTTTACTAAAGAGTCAGACTTCACTTCTACTTTATCATATAACATTACTTACTCAGAGATGCAATTGTGAAAACGATAAATTCACCTTTATGGATCCTATGAACACAGTCCCAAAATCCCAGTATACGATATATATGAACTATTCCATATCCAATATGATGCATTTGGAAAAAGAAAAATGTAGTAGTTGAATGGACACAAGACTATTTTAAAGACTATTCTAGTTGCTTTTCATATTTATCAGTTATTTTAAGTATTTAGATTTTGTAGTTCTTTCCATTTTTAAAACTTAATTTTTAGCAAGTTTCTTCAAACAGGAAATACTTTTTCCAATAAATTCTCTAATGATATGTCAACCAGTCAAATTAATTTAAAAAAATTTTAAAAACCTTTTTGGGGTGGGAAGAGAAGTGTTTTTTTTTTAATATACCCTTCAGAATGTTCTAAAATAACCTGACCAATCTGATGAAGAATATAATTAACATTTAAATAGTTATCCAGAAGCAATAAAGCCACTGAAGACAGGAATAATTTTGCCAATAATAGTTTGGTATTAATGCAAAAACATTTTATCTAAGTTCTTAAAGAATTAAGAGCCATTTAAATTTTTGACAAAATCTCTTTACAAGGTGAGGACTAAATAATTTTTAGAATCACAATTACTATATGATTTGCAAACAATGAACACATCAACAAATTAAATTTCTTGAATCTCTGGCTAAATTATGATTTTACAGTGGAAGCTGGGAAGATTAAGTTTATAAAGTTTAATAATTTTAAGATGCTTATTAGGTTCAGCTAAGTGATTCACACTAACTTTATATTGAATATAACAGTCTCTGGCAGATTCAATATTTTTTAATAAAGCAGGTTATTAGAACTGGCAAATGATTTTAGAGTCACTGATCACATTTCAAAATATATCAAAAGGGACAGGGTTAAGAATAGGTATTGCACCTGTAGTTTAATTGGTATTAGGAGTTACCAGTGAGGAACTGTTTCTTCTATCAATCCAGATTGGCACTTTCTCACCTAGACCCTAGAGCATTGAGTAGTTAAATGACTTGCCTGGAGTCACACAGCCAATATGTGTCAGAGGTGAGACTTGAACCCAGGTTTTCTGGGCCCTGAGGCTAACTCACTATCCATTACAACACACTGCTTCTCTACCTAATGTCTAAAACAACACTTAGATAAGATTTTACTGGTCCAAATGTACTCCAAAATGAAATCTCCCTGAAGGGGAAAAAAAATCAAAAACCAAAAACCAAAACCCTGATTTATAGGTGGCACTCTGGTATTATACAAGCCAGATCTGGTGGAAAAATATAGGCTATATTCATACCACTGTACTAACAATGTCAGGGCAATACACAATGAACCAGCTACCTCTTGATTCTTTTCACAAGCAATAAAATTACAAGTAACATTTGAATAACTTGGACAAATGAAAATCTCCAATAAAAATACTGTATTTGTGTTTCACTATCTTTTAAAAAACTAAAAACTCAAAAAATAAGTGAGAAATACTTTTCACTAGTCACTAGCCACACTTTTAAGACTCAGAAAAAGACATGCTTATCTAGCTACTAACACAAACCACATTCTGTATTATGCTTAAATGTAAAAAGAAATTCAGAATTTCCTACATGAAACTCTCCAAAAATGGTTACTAACTTCACTAATGTAAAAAAAAACAAAAAAAATCATTTCAAAAAGTACTACATGACAGATTCGTAATTGTATTTCAAGATACAGCCTACCTAACTTTTCTTCAAAAGTTTACTAAGTCATTTAATAAATGTAAAAATGAAGAGAAAAGAAAACAGATTAAATTTTAAATCTGACCATTGAAGATATATGTATACATGTCTATATATGTGTGTGTTAGCATGTGTGTCTATACAGACACATATGTATCTATAAACACACAAGTGTATAAATAGAAATATATGGTAGTAACTACAGAGGAAGCTCTCAAACTCAACCCTGGGAAAAGCTAACAAACAAAAAGCTTCATTAGTGAGACTGTAGAACAGCTTTTAAAAAGAATTACCAGGTGCAACTTTAAATGGATATACAAAACCCTAAACCAAAACACATCAGGCCCTCCTTTCCCTATCACATCAAAGAAACATAATATAGTGAAACAAAAAGAATGGACATCTAATCCATTTACTAAAAATAAATCTTTTATCCTGGACAAGTAGGAATTACAGTTATTTATTAGATTAGATCAAGTGGAGTAATACAATAATCAAAGGTTCCAAAAGAAAATGCACTAATTTTTTTCTTTGAGAGGAGGGGAAAAAAAAGAATGGGATAGAAAAAATAGCTTTTTTGGTGGAAACTGTATCTTGAGAATATTCAGACCCCCAATATCATAAGTGTTGTTAGTAAATTTCTTAGACAATCACACAGAAAACTATGAAATGTAAGTATTTCAAGAGGCTGAGGGATGGAGGGGCTGCAATCTGAATGAATAGAAAGAATATCCACACTTATGAAATAATAACTCTAAAGTATCAAGGTTGTTCAACTATCTTGAGAAAAGTAAAATTCACAGGAGAAAGAACTCTAGCTTTTTCCTCTGGCTCTCTAATTAAATGCAGAT